CAGATAATTAGATGCGATTTTCTAAACAAACATGGATTGTAGTCAGGAAGTAACCGGAAAAATTTGACTCACGCTGACTCTCGTGGCAAAACATAGATTTCTATGGATGTGGGTTTGTTGGAAAAATCCATTCTCCTAGTCTGAAGTTATCGAGCGATGTTGCCTTAAATATCTGTCTTCTGTGAGTCAACTGACAAACGCATGTAATAAACGAAGATATTATGCAACACGCAACTGCGATGCATGCCTTAAGTCATCCACATGAAGAGTATCCTTCAGTTTTACCTTTTATTAGAGGGTAACAATTCGTGGAAAAAAAAGACACTTCCTCCCTGGCTGCTAAAAGCGCCTGGTGGGATGCAGCACCAAATCAGGTAGTCCTAAGCAACCGTACGACGTCGGTTGCGAAGATAATAAAAATTTATTAATTAAAGGCGAAAGATGGCAATGATTTTCACTCCTGATCAGCAAAAAAACTACTCAATCAAAACGGAGTAGGGTATCCGTTTTACCGACCTTTAAATGGCAGGAGATTTAAGCAACAACTTCTATTTATAATACCTGTGAAAGGGAAAAGGAATGTTTCTAACGTTTGGATGTCAAACTCCCACACACTTTCGTGTGTGAGGGCCATTCGTGCTGCTTTATTCTTTCATGAAGTATATGGTGCCACGCTGATATCGGTTTCTATATCACAAACCGCCATATGGCAGATAAACGTGTGATATTCCGTTTCCTTCCAACGAACTGGCGCACATATTCTGCCTCAGAAGGAAGAACGGTCAGTCACTCGGTTAGGCTGAGATCCGGGCCTCTGCGTTCTGAGTCTGTCACTCTGTCGAAGAATAACCGCAGTCGTCGGTCATAAGAGTGAGCGCTGTCCAAAAGAGGTCGAAACTGAGGTGAGGCGTGAGAGAGAAGCCTCAAGAAATCAGGAACATAATGTCATGTCCTTTTCGTTGACAAGCAGGAACATTATGGGTGACTTAATCAGACGGACGCTAACAAATAAAAAATGCCACCTGCCAATTTTCCTATCTTTTTGCTATCGTATAAATACAAATAAGTGGTTGACAACGATGCTGTGATTTTTCTCTTTCATTAATGCCAAGCGCCCAAGAACGAGAGAGACCGTTTGTTTATTCACCTACTTGTTGCTTCGTCGATGCGTGGTGAAAAGAACGAAAACGACACACTCATAGCTCATATTACGCATTGAATGAAAGCGGGGTGAATGAATGAATGAATGAATTAATGAATGAATGAATGAACGAACGAATGAATGAATGAATGAATGAATGAATGAATGAATGAATGAATGAA